TTTATCTGCTGATGTACTCAGGGTGGGGTTCACTTTCTCAAACCCCATAATGTACTCTCTTTTTTGTAATATAATTTTTTTAACAAGTACAATTTTTTGAAATAGGGAAAGGGATTTGAACCAAACGACATTAACTTTTCACTTCTCAATATTTTCATATTTCTTATATTCGATTTTAAATGCTTAAATTGTTTCTTTTCAAGATCCTTTTAATTGTATAAAGCTAATTTTTCGACATTATATATGCTTTTTAATTAAATGAAGATGTGTATGGCGCTTTAGATTAAGGCAAAAAATAGACTTATGCGCAGATATATAGTTCTTCAATCATCTTTTATTAGAGAGAGTTGATATATGTTAGAGAACTATAAAAATACGTTTAACATTTGTCTTTTTATTATAGTTAGTCTTCCATAATAATTAATATTTTATATAAAAATAATGTTCATAAAAATTAAAAATATAAATTATTATTTCTTTGTAAGATTCCCGCCATGCAGGGATTATCTAGTTAAAGAAGCAAGAAATAAAAAATGAACTCAAGATAGAAGACAGAGTACCTCTCTGTTTTCCTCAAGTGCTCAAAAAAAAAAAAAAAAAAACAGAAAGTAAATTGGGCTTTGACAGCCATTTTGAAGGAGGGATTGGCGAGACTATAACCTCCATCCACCACCAGGTTGATTCCGCACACATATTTAGACTCGTCACTTGCTAGATACAGAGCAGCCTGCGCAATGTCCTCTGCTTCCAACACAGTCCCCTTCAGGGTCGCTGCCCTAGAAACCACCTCCCCTGCTTTCTCATTCGTCACCTCCAATGGTTCTGTCAGCATCCGAGTTGCCACCATAAATGGCGAAATACAGTTTACTCTTATCCCATACTGCTCCAGCTCCACAGCTAGGTTCTTAGCCAATCCCACTACTGCGTGCTTCGCTGACACGTACGAGTGTGCAGGGAATCCGTAAGTCACCGAAGCAACACTCAGTAACAAAATGCAACCTTTGTTAGCCGGAACCACTACGCTGGGAGAGTGTTTGGCGCCCAAGAACCCTCCGAACACATTTACTTCAAAAAATCTCTTAAATGTTTCATTGTCAGCATCCAGGATTTTGTCATCCGAGCTTGTTATTCCAGTATTATTATTTGCTGAACATAATATGCAGCTTTCCCTCAGGGAGGGAGCCAAAATTTTATGTTAGGAGTGGTAAATTTTTAAATTTTTTGTTAGTGGTAAATTTTTAAATTTTTTGTGAGTTATTGATCACTTTAAATGGTATAATTTATACTAATTTTTAAATTAGTCATTAATTTTATGCATGTTTCACTTATGTCATCAATTTTAAATTTTAAATCAATTAGATATATTTAATTATTTTTAAATAATATACAATCTAATGCCATTAAATAAATAGTATAAAAATATAGTTTTTTTTTAAGTTACATATATTAAATTAATTTTAAATTTAGAACATGTAATTTACATGAATAGAATATATTCTTATGTTGGTTTAATAGAATATAGATGGTACAAACAAAAATTATATATAACTAATGTAAAATTTTATAAAAATTATTATATCAATATAATTAGATTTGACTATTTTTTATATTTTTTCTTACTTAAATAAAATCATCATGTTTTTATAAGAATTGGTCATAAAAAGAAAAATGATCCCTTAATCTAAGTTTTAAATATATATTTTATATTTGATATGGTCCTATAATACCAAACTTTAAAAATAAAATTTTGTAAAAGACAACAATATATATACTACATTTGACATTTTTTGAAAGTTTAGGGTGGGCTGCTCCCCTCCCCCCAACAGTCCTATGCCGACTCCGTCTCTGCTGCCGGATGTTACATCATAATACACGTAGCTAATGCTTACCGGTTCCGAGTTCTTCACAATGTGATTGATCTTAATTCGTCTTGAACATCCGCGGTAAGGACCTTGTCAGCATGTTGACGAAGACTCTCGCTGTCGCCGTGTTAGAGTGCAGGTTCATTGAACATAATTTAGAAGATATTCTGCAAGGTACATTTTAAGTAGAAGACTTGAAATATCATTTTATATCCACCGAAGTTTTTGACCAAATCAGAACCATCTTTCACCATTAGGAGTGAGTCAAAATTCCTATGGTAGCCGATTAAATTCATTTGTCAAAGAAAGGTCGGCTTACGTAGCTCTGCTTTTTCGAAGAAATTCAGACAAACTTACCATGACAACTTCTTCGCCCATGACACCCATGGTTTCCCTTTTTTTTTTTTGAAGTTAATCGTCCCTCTATATAACTTCCATGACATCCATTTCTGTTCATAGATTCATTAATCTTCAGATAAAGGGTGTTGAAAAAAAAATCAATAGAAATTTTTGTATGGTAATTTTCTCTACTTCTTGATCAGCATCAATATTAATAATTCATCATATTTCTCTTCAAATAAACAGCTTTCTGATTAAAACAGGTAAATAAATTACAATCCTTTTTTTGTATATTTTTTATTTACTCTTCTGTTTAGGGGTTCTTTGAATTCTTTGTTATATACCAAAAGACACAAACTCTTATATTTGGAATTCTTGTTGCAGGATACATTGATTTCCATGAAGAGTAGTGAATTTGGAAAAGATTTTCTTCCTAATGCTGCGGCAGGGACACTAGTAGAAACTGTCAAAGTAGTATGTAAATATGCTAACCAGATGATCGAGTTGTCGAAAAATATGAAGAGAAACTATGAAACATTGAAGAGCGAAGCAGAAAAGCTTCAGGCCAGAAGATGTGACTATCAGAGCGCAGAAAGAGAAAGCTGCAGCTATAACCTCTGGCTAGACAACGTGGAAGAGATTTTAAAAAAGGTTGAAAGCTTAAAAATGCGCTACCAAAACGAGAGAAAACTACCACTAATGAAGTTCTCTGTGATGCATCGAGCAGGTTTCAGTGATCAACTGCTGAAGGCATACGAGGAAGTCCACAAACTTGTGGAAGAAGTTCCTTTTAACGCACGGCTGTTAAACTAGTTTTTTGAACAAATTTGCAAGGCCGGATTCGAACAGTTAAACTAGTTATGTCCTTATGTTAGTGTTGTGTGGTTGCAGTTGCTGTTAGTTTATTTTGCTGATTGGTGTAGCAATTTATTTTTACAGTTCGTAACTTCATTTTTGTTTTAAGTAGCCATTATGTATAAGTTGCTTTTTTCTGAAAAACTTACATATATATATATATATATGTTTATATATGTTGAGTTATACTAGAAAAAGTCAGTATATATTCATTCAATATCAAAGTTCATGTTCGTGTCAATTTAAGATAATAACTGAGTTTATGTCTATTGCTACTCGTTTTCCACCATGTTTTCACGGTTCTCAGAGGGTTTTTGGTGGATAAACCCAACAATCTTAAAAGGCAAAACCTCACATTATGCCCCTGAATTAACCTTATATTTATAATTGAGTCTCTAAATTTTATATAAAGCAAATAAGCCCTTAAACCACAATTTATGTAATTTTGCCCTCTATTTAACAACAGACTACAAAGTTGCAAACAAAAAAGACATAAAAGAGAGCAAAACTACACAAATAGTGGGATTTAGGCCTTATTTGCTTTAAAAGAGGTTTAGAGACAGTTGGAAATATGAGATTAGTTTAAGGGCTTAACGAGGGGTTTTGGCATATACAAATCTTCAATTTGAGTAATTTAACAAATACTTATAAAATATCCATTGATAAGTATAAAAGGCAGGCATGACTCATATTTAACCTCTACATGATGCATCTTTCTAAAATATGAAAAAACGCAAATATGACTTTGACAAGAGAAAAACTGTTCTGTTCTCTTTTTTTCCTTTTCTTTTCCTAAAAGAGAGTTCTCTTTTTATGCTAATTGGAGCATGAAAATTTTTAAATACATGATTGGTAAATGGAAATGATTTTCATTTTAGAACAAAATATTCATATAAAACCTTTAGTCCCTTAACTTTTATGAATTTAAAAAATCACTTGTTAACATTTTTTTGTTGCAAGTAACTATCGTAACTTAAAATAATTATAAATAAAGATTTCTTTTAATAATTTTTTTTTAATGAAACGACAGAAAATTATTTGGACAAGTAGTAGGTGCATTTATCATCCTCAGTTTTTCTAATGTCACTTATTTTGGCCGAACAAACAATGTCATATATAGCACTTGGTCAATGGTACTTACTCCTTAATTTATGGATATACCTGGAGAAAATTGCTAAATAGGTGAATTATTGCGCAATGAGATTGTGAGAATTTGTTATGAAAATTTGTTCGCATTATTGGCCAGTGAATTAGGTTCGAGTAGTAGATATATGGGGTGATGTGGGTAAAGGGATAAAAAAATTAGTTTTTATTGTATAACTGAAAATAATAAAAACAAAAAGAATTACATAAAGAATGACATTATTATGTTTCTCTTTTCTAAAGTTAGGAGGCTATAAAAAGAATTAAAAAGGAAGCAATTTTTGCGTGAGGTATATATAGGGGAGGCATTTTAGTTGAGTAGAAATTTAATAATTCTTATAAACTTTTAATATAAAAAATTATTTTTATTTATTTTTAGTTACACAATGAGGTTGAAAATGGGAAACAAACCTTCTCTATCATTTGTTTATTTTACCTACACATCAGACAATTAAACAAAAAATCTCTTTCACCAGACGCTTTAAATTTGTTCTAATTAAACAAATTGTTAGGTATAATGTCTCATTTATTTATATCACTCATGCTAAAATTCAACTGTAATATGCATGTTCACGTGGTTTCTTAATATTATTAACATATAACCCTTGTAAACAGTTTATAATTATATTAGGCATAATATCTTAATATCATTCATTAGATATTTATAATTCTTTTATTAATTTAAGTTCATCAATGCTTAGCAAAAAGAAATATAAATCCATTGGTACTAAGAATATATTATATTAAAAATAAAGATCAACTTACACTGGCATAATTAAGTTTAAGAAATTTTTACACTAATTTTTAACCATATATTTCAAAACTTAAGCAATTGTTTTGAAAATTCAAGATGTATTATTAATTATTGAAATTTTAAATTGAGCTGAGAATTAGTGTAACATTAAACTAATATATAAGTTGATTCTAACTCTTATATGAATACAAATTATTAAGGAAGGGAAATTATGATAGAATGATTTTAACAAGTCCATAAACAGGATTATACTTCCTGCTAATTTTATTTGAGACATGGAAGAAAATAGGCTTCACAGCCGAACAGAGCACCTCTGTTTTCTTCAAGGAAAAAGTATGCTCTTGATAGCCATTGGGAAAGTGGGATTGGTGAGGCCATAACCTCCATCAACCACCAGGTTGATTCCGCTTACATACTTGGACTCATCGCTTGCAAGGTACAAAGCAGTTTGAGCAATGTCCTCTGGTTCCAATGCAGTCTCCTTCAAGGTAGCCGAGGAACCAATCACCTCATCTGCTTTCTCCTTGGTTAACCCAAACCTTTCTGTCATCAATGGAGTCGCAACTGCAAACGGTGAAATGCAATTAACTCTTATCCCATACTGCCCCAACTCCACAGCCAGGTTCTTAGCAAATCCCACAATTGCACATTTCGCCATCACATATTCGTGCATACCAAATCCGAAGCACTCCGTGACCGAACTTGCTGTGAACAAGATGCACCCTTTCTTTGCAGGAACCATCACCCTGGCAGCATGTTTGGCACCTAAATACCCGCCAAATGCAACGACCTCCATGACTTTCTTGAATGTTTCATTGTTCGAGTCAAATATCGTGTTGCTTGAGCCACATATCCCTGCGTTGTTGAACATGATATCGAGCTTTCCATACAAAGACACTGCCAAGTCCACAGCATGTTGGACATCAGATTCAGATGTAACATCACAGTGGACATAGTTGACTCTGTCCGGGGTTTGAAGTTCTTGACAGACGGAGTGGCCTAATTCGTCTTGGATGTCTGCAATTAGAACTTTGGCACCATGTTTGACGAAGAGTCTAGCAGCTGTCTCTCCTATGCCTCTGGCTCCACCGGTTATCAGCGCCACCTTACCTTCTAGCCTACAATATTAAGATTTAAAGCAAAGGCAGGATTAGTCAAGCACAAAACGCAATAAATTTTGCAATAAAATATTTCAATTTCATTTCAGTACAGAAACTGAGAACTATTTTCATTTACCTCCTGCCTTCAGTTTGGGCACTCATCGTAGATCTAAGGAAGTAAATCTTCTTACTAGTTATGGGAAGTGGATGATTGGTTCATGGAACACAGCCCACATGAATCCTATATAAAGGAGAGCCAGTTCTAGAAAGCAACATCTTCGCTCACATCCAGCTTGGCATTGAATGTTCAGAATTTATATTTCCTTGTTCTCCATACGTAACTTGTGTAATATATTTTTTTTTCCACCAAAAAAACTCTGTAATTTACTAATTTTTTCCCTTGGCACTTTGAAGCGTTGATTATATAGCGAAATCACTACTATTTGGCGTATATATGCTGTTTAGAAAATGTTTTCTCCTCTCTTCTAACCACATGCCTCTACTGTGTAATTAGCGCAGTGGTGACTAAGACTTTTTTAGACAGTTGAGATGTGTTAGGGTTAGTTTTTATACATGAGATTAATTTCTCAAATAATTTTGAAAATATACTTTATTTTGACTTGGTATATTCAAAAATTTTATTTTTTTTTATGTATTAATCTTAAATTTAAACCTAATCTTAACTTACCAGATAAATCTTAATTATTTTTATGAATGGCTTCATATCCCCTGAGTTGTCACTAATGAAGATCTTTTTTTTTCTTTTTTTTTTTGAACATGCACTAATGAAGATCTTGTTGGATAACTATTTTGGAAACTTAATCATTCAAAAGTTTTATCTTTGTTACAGATTGCTGTGGAAAGAACATCGTTTTAATGCCTTGCATGATTAAAGTTTACTCAATCCTATCAAACTATTTTCTCAAATACGGCAACATTAAATAAGGCCGGCCGGAGTTTGAGAGAGCGTATGGAATTGTCAACCAGATGAAATATACTAGTAATTTTTAGACTGCAATAATTGTACACTTCCGGCCGTGCTGACGGATAAGGCTAATTAACTCAATTTCAACAATAAAATAAAATAACGAATTGTTTGGATTTCACTCTCAAATCTCAACTGTCAAGATACGATGCATGCACCTGACCTTGCTTGATATCCTGTGCATTTTTCCCACTTAATAAATTAATCTATTTGGACTGGTTTTGTTGGGAGAATGAGTAATTTTTTTAAAATATATTAGAGGGTTGGTTATTTAATATTGTATAATTTTAAATTTTAAATTTAGTGATACAAGTATTAATTTGATTAATTTTTTTTATTTTTAATTGTAAAATAAAAAATAACTTTCTTTCTCGTTTTTTAATTCAATCCACTTGCATCACATGTAATTTTAATTTAAAATTTTTTATTTTTAATAAAAAATTATTATTAAAT